CTGGGTCTTTCGCATGACAATGATCCCAAACACACCGCCCTGGGCAACGAAGGAGTGGCTTCGTAAGAAGCATTTCAAGGTCCTGGAGTGGCCTAGCCAGTCTCCAGATCTCAACCCCATAGAAAATCTTTGGAGGGAGTAGAAAGTCCGTGTTGCCCAGTGACAGCCCCAAAACATCACTGCTCTAGAGGAGATCTGCATGGAGGAATGGGCCAAAATACCAGCAACAGTGTGTGAAAACCTTGTGAAGACTTACAGAAAACGTTTGACCTGTGTCATTGCCAACAAAGGGTATATAACAAAGTATTGAGAAACTTTTGTTATTGACCAAATACTTATTTTCCACCATAATTTGCAAATAAATTCATAAAAAATCCTACAATGTCATTTTCTGGATTTTTTTTCTCATTTTGTCTGTCATAGTTGACGTGTACCTATGATGAAAATTACAGGCCTCTCATCTTTTTAAGTGGGAGAACTTGCACAATTGGTGGCTGACTAAATACTTTTTTCCCCCACTGTATATCTGACCAAATTATGAAAGACAAGCATTGTAATTTTGAATTCCGTAAAGTGTGGAAGAGGTAATTTAAAAAAAATATTCGATCAACAATGACAAGCCACCGGGGTCTGACAACTTGGATGGAAAATTACTGAGGATAATAGCAGACGATTTTGCCACATCTTCAATATAAGCCTACTAGAAAGTGTGTACCCTCAGGCCTGGAGGGAAGCAAAAGTTATTCCCCTACCTAAGAATAGTAAAGTCCCCTTAACTGGCTCAAATAGCCGACCAATCAGCCTGTTATCAACCCTTAGTAAACTTTTTTGGGGAAAAAATTGTGTTTGACCAGATAAAATGCTATTTTACAGTAAACAAATTGACAAGACTTTCAGCACGTTTATAGGGAAGGACATTCAACAAGCACAGCACTTACACAAATGACTGATGATTGGCCGAGAGATATTGCTGATAAAAAGATTGTGGGGGCTGTTTTGTTAGACTTCAGTGCGGCTTTTGACATTATCGATCATAGTCTGTTGCTGGAAAAACGTATGTGTTATGGCTTTACACCCCCTGCTATATTGTGGATGAAGAGTTACCTGTCTAACAGAACACAAAGGGTGTTCTTTAATGGAAGCCTCTCCAACAAAATCCAGGTAGAATCAGGAATTCCCCAGGGCAGCTGTCTAGGCCCCTTACTTTTTTCAATCTTTACTAACAACATGCCACTGGCTTTGAGTAAAGCCAGTGTGTCTATGTATGCGGATAACTCAACACTATACACGTCAGCTACCACGGCGACTGAGATGACAGCAAGACTTAACAAAGAGCTGGAGTTAGTTTCAGAATGGGTGGCAAGGAATAAGTTAGTCCTAAATATTTCAAAAACGAAAAGCATTGTATCCCAAATACAATGCTTTTAGTTTTTGAAATATTTAGGACTAACTTAATGGAACAGCAGGGACTGTGAAGCAACACAAACATAGACACATGCATACAAACACACGATAACATACACACTATACACACATGTACACATGGATTGTGTTATAGATATGTGGTAGTAGAGTAGAGGCCTGAGGGCACACACTTAATATGTTGTGAAATCTGTTATGAATGTATTGTAATGTTTTTAAAATGTATAACTGCCTTAATTTTGCTGGACCCCAGGAAGAGTAAGTTAATGAGAATCCATAATAAATACAAATCCTCACTTACCTGACAGAGCCTCTCCTTTCTCAGTGTCTCCAGCACAACCACATCTCACACACATCCCCCCCTGATCTCTCTCTTCCCTCTTCTTTCTCTGCTCTTTCTCTTCAACTTCCATCCTCTTCCTCTCCTCCTCTCTGTCCCTCCATCTCTGCTCCCACTGCTGCAGCTTCTTCCTCAAGACATCCACTTCCTGCTTGCTCCGTGTCACTTCCTCCAGGAAGCCATCCTTCACCAGCCGAGTGATTTCATGCATGGCGGTTTTGAGGACTGTTTCCATGACGCCACTGAGCTGGTACTGGAAGGTGAGGATGGCCTCTGACATAGCTGCAACAACATCAACTCAACACTGCAAAATAAACCCCACTTCCCTTCCAAACGTCACAGTTGCTTTGCCTCCCAGTGAGTTCAGCAAGCTGGGAAACTGGCATGTAGCTTCCAGATTACACCAGTACCCAGGGAGTCCACCTGGAAACAGGGACAAACTGTCAAATAGATGATAAGGGTGACCCTGCAGTGTGGACTGTCATCTTGCCAGTGAAACAGGGAAGCTCAGCGACCAATAGCCATTCACGCCAGCAAAATGCTTAGCTAGTAGTAATAGCTAGCTAAATATTTAGGTAAATTATTGGTGTAATTGTTAGTTATTACTCTTTCATGTAGACTACTACCAGAGATACTGACGTTAGGTACTTAACTAGCTAGATAGCAGAATTTTGTCCAGCTTGCCTTGCTATTAGCTAATGTTGAGCTAACTTAGCTAGCTAGCTACATAGCTATAACTCAGGGGTATAACGAACGATAGCATCTTCATTTGACTCGAATAAAAATTATCTTATTACTTGCCAAACGTTGTCAATCGGCTAGTCGGAAACGTTCAATCTCTCATCCCAGTGCCACAAATTGTGTAATATTTGCTGACTGTATTCAAAGTAGCATCTAGCTAGTGCTAACACTGGTGTCCACTAGTTACCACAGCCACACAAATTCAAAATGGCTATATCGTAAAAATGTATGAAAACAAAAATTAGCTTTTTGGTCTTTGTTTAAGGTCAGGGTTAGCCATTTAGCAGTGTTGTTAGGTTTAGTTTTAAAATCACATTTTAAGAAGAGAAATTGTAGAAATGGGCGGCCCCCTAGCACGTGCCGTCAAGAGGATCATCATGCGAAGGCGATTGCGCAGAACTGTTAGCAGAAAAAATGGGAGACTTGTCACTATATCTATCATATATATAATATATATATTTGTTCTAAAATGCTAATAATAATCATTATCAACCCATGTTGACACACAATGTAGGGCATTGAAACAAATAGCTACACCCTTTTTATTGGATGCAGGGGGGCCAGTATAAGAGCGTCTGCTAAATGACTAAAATGTAAAATGATAATCAATAGATGATCTATTATCTAGATTGTTCCATGAAAGTTCATTCCCTCTGGTTCATGAGCTCCAACAAAGTAAATATTTCAATGAACTACCTATGCTGAAGAGCTATGAGAGACAGAGAACTAAGGCAGTATAAGACAGGCCTTTACTGTAGTGAAGACCTTCTAGATTCTCAATATAGAATTGAAATAGAGATTCTCAAACTCTTATTAGCTGGTAGTTCCATAGCCTTGGCCAGTTCTTCTGTAGCTTCAGATAGAAGTTCTACAGGGACGTGATCTCTGCATACGTTTGTCTGCACCAGGAAAATCTGTATTGTTGGTCTAGTAGTTAGTTAGAAGAAGCTGTTGTGGTCCTCAGCACAGGTAGATAACCTTCACAATGTTCCACTGGTGGAAGACCCCTTCTTAAATGTACTGAACAAAGGAATTTCAATTCCATGTGCACCAATGGTAAGTAACTAATGACTACCTCCCCATATTTACATGTTCAAGAATGAAACTCTACCTGAATGAAACTCTACCTTTTAAAGTGCTCTGATCTGGTCTTATTTAACCTTAGGTGTGAGTACATTCTTGTTGGACAGGCCTATACCAGTAGAACAACCATTTATTCAAATCAAGACTCCCAGACTCTTGTGAGGGAAGGTGAGGCTGACCACCAGCGTCCACATCCCCACTAAACAACTCAGTTAACCAGATTAACTCTGTATTTAAAGTAGCAATTTCGCCCTCCACTGGTTAGTAAACTCTCCATATCGCCTCCTACACTAGCAAACATGATATGAGTCCCACAGTCAGTGTGTTTAGTGCCCTTTGCCCTCTCTAAAAGCATAGTGTAACATTTACCCTCTCAACTAGAAGCATTGGATGATGAAAACACTTCAATAGCTATTTCAAGTGGAGAAACAGCCCAGGTCTTAGGTCAGAGTAGATTACAGACCAATGTGCATTTGATTTACTCATTGCTTTATCTCCTAGCCTGATGAATAACTGCTACTTTAGCAAGTAATGAATTATGTTCTCTGTTATACCGTGAGTTACAGTGTATACATAAGAGTGTATTTTACATTTTCATGGCTACCTCTGTGTATACATTAAGCATTTTCAAACAACACAGAATAACATTTATGTATTTATTGTAACATTAAAGCAAAGGTCATTTAAGTGCAGTTTTGCTATGTCATTCATTGACCAGAAGTATTTTGTTCTTCTTTCATTTCTAGGCATGATAAGCTTCAAAGAAAACCTTCAATGCTGTGTTGTGACAGGCCATGTTTTGTGCCTCCATTTCAAAGAAGTTAATGTAGATCCTGAAACAGAGAGATGGATCAGCTTGGGTCAATGTGTGTGTGTGTGTGTGTGTGTGAGTGAGTGAGAGGCTGACTGCTGTAGAGTGGGTGTTTTGGTTCTGTACCGGTTGGGGGTAATTCCCAGGTGTTTGTTGAGCAGTCCACAGAGTAGTGTGGAATACTGCAGGTTCTGTTCCTCACTTATAGCTCCAATACTGTGGAGGGAGGAGTGGGCACAGTGGGCGGTCGTTCCCCCGAATGTCATCAGCTGATCTGGCACGATGTGAACAACAAAACTGCAGAAGACAAAACAACAATATAACCATGAATTACATATTAGTAATTTAATAGGATAATTGTGAGTATAACACTGCAATGTTGTATTATAATGTAGTTTCTCTACATGTTTCAAAGTTAACTCTGCTGTTTTTCCCCATGGCTTTGGCCAGTTCTTATGTTGCTTCAGACAGAAGTGCCGCTGGGACAGCAGCCTTGGTTACATTTGTGCTCACCAGGAAAACAGACATGGATGGTTACTTTAATTATACTCCTTAACACAGGAAATGTAGCTTTACAGTGCTACACTTAAAAAAAGTTTTGATTGTGTGTCCATGTGAATGGGGTGTGGCCTCTGAAATGCATGCTTCTCCTTAGCAGGAAGTAGTTTGCAATTGGTGCGTTTATATGCCCTCTATAGACTGCCAATGGACCATGATACTACCACAGAGTTTGTATTGTCTTTGATACTACTTCCTACTTCCTAGTTCCTGCCACCAGAGTGTGCATTTTCCATTCAACTTCACTGCTCTTCTCTCAATTGTTCAACATTCTCAACATTGCTATCCCAAGTAAATAACCAGCTGTATTTGCCTGTCCATGACTGTTTGACTTCAGGAGCTGAAATACAATAATCTTTCCCTGATAATGCAGACTATTAGACTGACTATGAGCTGTAAAACTACATCTTCTTGCTTGGTTTTCATGTTTATAGATGAAACACTCAAAACATCACATAATAATCAAGGATTCACTTTTTTGTAATATCAAATAAAAGAGCCATGTAATTGCCGTCTCTCGATTTGATTGGATATTTAATTAATCTACTCTTATTTCATTTATTCGATGCAAGAACAACACAGAACATTGTGCTATCCCAGGCCACATTTTGGGTCTCCATTTTAAAGAAGTTAATGTAGATCCTGAGACAGAGACAAATGGAATGGGTCAAAGTGTTTCAATTTGACTGGTGTGTGTGTGCGTGTTCTGTACCTGTTAGGCGCGGTGCCCAGGTCTTTGTTGAGCGTCCACACAGTAGTTTAGAGTACTGCAGGTTCTGTTCCTCACTGATAACTCCAATACTGTGGATAGAACCATGTGAACAGGGGGCAGTGGTTCCCCCAAACATTATCATCTGGTCTGGAAGGATGTGAATGAAACAGTTCAGCAGAAAACAAGGGAGACTTGTGTCAAGCAGTGTCAAGGCGCTGTTATTTACTTTAAGGGCTTAATACAATGTGAATAATCAATAGTATGATGACAGGAAAACAGTCACACCATTTTTCCCAGATGACCTTCAGTTCTAAGCTGGCGCGGGACCTACTTGTTTTAGGTACAGATTAGAGCTATATATTTTAGTTACATTTCATTTATTCATTCCTACTACATGTTTGTGAGTTATGGAAAAGTTGACACAGTATGCAACACTGTACTTGAAATGGGTTCTATTATATTATTATTACTAGATTTTGAAACTCAACTCAGGTCCTGGATTTCCCATGGCTTTGGACAGTTCCACCGTAGCTTCAGATAGAAGTGCAGCTGGCACGGAAGCTTTGGCATAATTTGTGTTCACCATGAAAACCGGCATGGTTGTAAGTTTACTTGAAGCAAGACGTATTGCTCCCACTGAGATATAATAAGAACGATTTGCCTTCAGCACAGGCGGTTTACCTTCACAATGATACTCAACGATAGACAACTGTGTGGGCATTTGAATGAGGTGTGGCTGCTGAAGTGATTTTTATCCACCAATGGCAACATACTTCCTGCCACGAGCGGGAGTTATTCATGTAATATCAGTACTAGCCTCTCATTTCAGAACAGTCTCCAATGTATTTTGATACCTATCCATTGAACCTGATTGAACCTCAGAACAGATGCATGGCATCACAGATATGACAAAATGTGTCAAAAGTAAATGCCCTGCTAGTGGTCTTCGCCTGTTCATGGTTTTTTGTATAGTGCAGGTGAAGTGTGAATACACCAATCTTTACCTAACAATTGAACAAAATAGATTGTCTGTGTGAGGTCAAATTGGACTGCTTCATGGCATGCTCTCAATTAATGGCAGTGCAAAGCATCCGGTCTGTAAAACAAGTCAAAAACACAGGGAAAACAGAACAAATTGTGATCAAGGTGAATCACTTTATTGTAACATCAAAGCCTAGGGTCCAGTGCAAATCAAGGGTATGTTTTAAAGCAAGGGTCCATTTAAGTGCATTTATCAATACTGCTCTACATCAGCCCAACAACTGGGCATCTCTGCTCATCTCTCCACAGCCTACTCTAGTGCTATAAAACCGTTAAGGTGTTGGGGAAAGGAGGGGTCAGCTCCCATTGAGGTTTAGGTCCCCTGCTCAACCAAAGGTAGAGTTGTTCCAGGCCACGTTCGCTGCCTCCATGTCAAAGAAGTTCACGTAGATCCTGAGACACAAGAGGAGTGTTAGTGTATGAACATTTCATGTGGATTTTCCTCTGTGTGTGGTGTCCATTACCTGTCAGGGGAGATGCCCAGGTGTTTGTTGAGCAGTCCACACAGTAGTTTAGAGTACTGTTTCTGAGCTCCTTCAATCTTTCCAATGCTGTGCAGGGAGCAGAGGGCACAAGGGTCTCCTTTCCCCCCGAACATCATCAACTGGTCTGGGACGATGTGCACAGCGAGGTACTGAGAAAGAGACGCACACAGAGAGAACAGAGCATACAATGAGTGGGAGCTGGAACAATCATGTGAAAATCATGTGTTTAAGGCAAGATGAAAATTCCAACCATTACAGTGAAATTGCACATGTAAAACTAGTTGTTGGATTACATGTTACAGTACTCCTGTCCTGGACCTATTAAAAGTATAGTAGACCTGCAGCACGAACCTCGTGTTCCATTTTAGGAATAAGATCTGCGCATGCCCAATTGTATAACGGTTCTGTTATGGGATGCCAAAGGGGTCTCTCAACTGCAACAAAGGGTCCCTACAATGTAATCTTCACCGCAGAAAAACGCATCAGCATCAAATGAACTATAATTAGCGATCTACAACGGGGGAGGGTGGGAAGGCATTGCTGTGCCAACTTTGGAAGACTCACCTGCACAGGTTTTCCCATCGCCTTGGCCAGTTCCTCTGTGGCCTCAGACAACAGTGCAGGAGGAATGTCACTCTTGGGCACATTAGTATTCACCAAAAACATAGGCATGATGATTGCTTCGCTTAAATTCTCTCTGTTGCAGGGAAATAACCGTGATCAACACAGCTCTGGAGCAAGCTTGAAAGCAGCTTCTTCTTCTGCAAGTTTTTATTTGCGGGCTACAAAAAAAAAAGGTATTGCCGCCACCTACTGGGTGGGGTGAAAACTGAGAAACTTTAAGGAAGGGTGAAAACATACGACCACAGAGTTTCAAAACCCAGGGGCGCAACATCGCAAGACTTCCAGGAACGCTTGCGAAGCAGACCAGGCGGCAGGCCTGTACTCTAAAACGTAAAAATGGTATCTCCGCTGTCAAGAGGGGGGCCACTAAAATGTTTTGCTACGCATTCATGAAGTCATGCTACCTATCGCACCACAAAAAGCATGCTGGACAATGTGACTTTCATGAGTTGGGAGTGTTAATGTTCAGGTCTCTGGTTTGACCCCAGTTTGGGCCAAGGATGAGATTATTGTCTGTTTCATATGCATTCATTCTTACCACAGTCGTTAAAAGGGAAATAAGAATAGGCTCAAGCCTCTATAGGCCTAATAACACCTTGCTGTGTAGGCCATTTGTGTGTAGATGCATATGTGTTTAATATATATGTGACCTAGTGTTATTGACTCTGAGAGAGGCAAGAATAATATATCTCAAGCTCCTCCTGGGTCCGTGCAGACATTGGGAGAAGGCACCTCAAGCGCTGTGGAGACAGTGAATGATGTAAGATCAGTTAAACATTATTGTACTATACTGAAAGTATGTTGCAGGTTGTATTTCCCTAATTGCAGTAAAGTCAATATCTTCTGTTCTCACTCAGAACTGGTGTGTGTGTATGTTTGAGAGAGAGAGAGAGAGACTGAGAATTGGTGTTATTGTTTCTGAGAGGAGAAGAAGTGTAATAGCTTCTGTCACTTTCAGGCTCATCCAGGATCCTTGCACACAGTGGGAGAAGGTACCGCAAGCTCTGTGGAGACTGAATGATGTAAGAACAGTTAATCATTGTTTTCTGACTATACAATGCAAAATAGATAGGATCAAACTTAAGTTTTAAAAACATTTACATAAGGAGTCTAAGAAGTTGAATCAAGGCCCTTAATCTGTGCTCTTTTTTTAGGCTGATGTACGCTACTACCCCTCCACAAAGCTACGGGTCAACGATGACCAACACCAGCTGCTGAACAGCATCATGACCTCCTTGACTGCCAGGGTTTCTAGATGACATTACGAAACTGAAAGAACTGTTGATGGTGGTAACCAAGCTGTTAATGGGGGTAGAAGAACAGCTTGCCACTGTCATGGGGCTTAACTTGGATAGCAAGTTTTGTTTAGACAGATTTCAGGGATCTGATGATGACATTAGATTTTGGATAGGCTTTTATAGCTATGGGGCACTGAAAACCTTCTACACAAATATGTTAGTCTGAAGCTTCCAACTTGGTCTACTGTGGCAAAATGGGCATACCAGAGTTGGTAGAGTTGGTGGCCATTGCAAGGGTACGCATTCATGTCGAGAGATTAATGGGCAGGCTTAAGCAGTGACATATACTTGGCAGGAAAGTCCCACTCACTTACTGGAAGCACAAAAACATATTTCAACCATGTGCTCTGCTAATACTATTCTGGCCTCCTCTTGTAGACTGAAGGTGTGGTGTGCCGGTGTGGTGTGCATGATTTCACATCATTCAGTACTACGGTGTCTGGCATGTCTGGATATACCCCTACCCAAGGTAGCTATAACCAAATACAATGATTTCACATCTCTAAGGTCTCCCATACAATCTTGTTTAACAATATTTTGCTGCAAACAGTTTAATTCATCATTGTTGTTGTAGAGACAGTAACCTGGTGGTAGATGAGGAGATCAAAACCTTCCTCAACAACCGCAGGTTCTCCCCGGCTATCGTAGGATAGGTCACAAATACATGCATCTATTCTGCTCAGACAACTTTTAGTGGGTTAACTGTTTTTAATCTGTACTGTTTAGGGCACAAAGCTGTGATATTGCTTGTGGAGATGTAACCGTTAAATGCAACATTTGGATATTGACTGAAACATTCTGTACACTATATACATTTATAAATATAAATTGTAATAGGTAATATAATAAATAGAAAATACATGAACAATTTACAAAACGTGTCTGGTTCGCATTTCATTTTGGACCTAGAGTGAACTTCATAAGTACTTGTATAGTAAACGAATTATAATCATCACTGCTGAATGCATTCAGGTTGGCACGTCTGCATTTTGCCAAAAATGATTGTGCGATAAGTGCAGGAACAATGTACTCACTGTGGAAGTTTAACAGTTTCCCTTTCCCCAAACATCACCCTGACCACTAGCACATCCTCTACAGAATTTGTGAACACCACAAACTCACACCACCTTCTCTGGGTTACTGCCATCTGTACTTGATGGTAGTAGGAGTGGTTTTGTTTCATGCAAACAATGGTATCGACCTCATGCAGAGGAAATGACTGCTTACTGCCATTGACCTGAACCGCCTGTACTGGGGACAGGTCTCTGCAGGAGTAGAGACATTTCACCTCCTCCAGTCCGTAAGGTTCATCCACACAGGACTCATCCTTCACAAGTCTGTCAGGACTGGCTGCCAGCTGGCCGTTCTCCAGATCAACAAACAAGCCACACTTATATACCCTTACTGCAGTCCCTTCCTCTTGTTTCTGTCAAACATCTCTACTGCCTCATCCTCATGCTCCACTCCACACTCTCTAACCAGGATGTCCTGATGTACAGTAAGTGATGCTCCTGATTAACCCTGCACTCTGCTCTTTTCCTGCACATCTCTTGGCTAAGCTTGCAGATATCCTTCCTTTCTTGTTTTGGAACCAAAGCCTGGACACCAAATGGGCATGGTACATAAAGGTGTGTCTTGCATGATCTACTACACAGCGCTACTGTGTCCTAGCTAAATTCCCAACCTGCCCCCATTTCAATCATGGCCACCTAATCATCCCCCACATTCCTAATTGGCAAATATCACTCCTCATCTTTCCACCTGATAACTGATGTGTGGTGAGCATTCTGGCACAAAATGGTTGCCGTGCATCGCCCAGGTGGGTGCCACACATTGGTAGTGGATGAGGTGCGTTTCCCCCTTAGTATGTAAAGCGCTTTGAGTACCTCAGTTGGAAGAATGGCACTATATGAATCCAATCCATTATTATTATTATAATTATTATTGTGTCTGGCAACTCTACACCTGAACCACAGTGCAATGTTCCTGCTATGTCTTGTCTTATTGAATAGTTGCTGGTCTGCATTGCACTGTGGTACAGGTGGGTAGGTGTCATGACAGAAACAGTAGAGGTTAATCATTTTTTATCATGCAAGCCACACCTTTATGCACCTTATCCATTATGCATCTCCAAGAACTGTGTTAAATTGGTCAATTATCCCTGTGTTGGATGTCAAACTAAATGGAGTTCACTAACCTGTAACGTCTGAATCACAGCCTCTTCTGGAAGTTGCTGAAGAGAGGGGCTCTGGTTATCAATCTCAATCTCTCCTTCGCTGTCAGTGCTTGAGTTCAGGATCTGATAGAAGAAACACATGTTGATATTTCATCACTTTAGTTAAAAAGATACTTGGGATTTTGTCAATAAGGTCCTTTATCTACTTCCCCAGAGTCAGATGAGTATTGGCTCACAAAACTACCTCTAACTTCTGTGGTGGCAGAATTTAGAGTGAGCTGTTGTAACTTCTCAAGGGATATATTCTGTGTTGGACTGTGATGTTGTGCCTTTCATAGACTCCTGGTATGTATGCACCCTAACACAAGGCCATTGTGTTCCGGAACTGTTGCTTGTATAAAATAACTGCTGTGTGAACAATATGATTGTATTGTCACCTCCCACTATATAAGGGACATGTAACCACTTACTCTTTGAGTTCTTCCCTGTGAAATCAGAGACAGATCACCCCCGCAGCTGCTTGATTAAAGATGTTTCTATTATACAATTAAATAGTCTCTGCCTTAATCTTTGGATCGAGTTTTCCACAACATTTGGTGCCGTGACCCGGATGAGATCGAATGGACTTTTTGACCCATTTAGCTCGGCTTGTACCCAGACATCCCTCTGGCCACAACTAGAAAAGGTACATCTCTGTGAGGGATTGTCTGTTTTCCAGCCAAGCCTTAATGGTGAAAGAGCTCTTGTCCTCCTCATCCACTAAATGTTGGGGTTCAATTCCCCTGTAATAGTGAATCTGGCCGGTTAAACATTGATCAATGGGAGCACAGGGGTGTCTCTAATAGTAGGGATTGGTTTTCCTACAATCACGTGAAAATACTGTTGGGTCAGTGTAAAATACTGTTGGATCAGTATAGAATACTATTGGATCAGTACTGTACCCACGGTTTCTCGAGCAAAATGAGATAAATATTTTTCAAGTACTCTGGGATGGCGTCTGATGCGGAGGGGGTTAACGGCCCCCTGGTATCAGCATATGTGTGTGGGTTACCAAAAGGTCTCTGAGCTACTCAAACAAATTACTCCAGGTTGGCAGGCTAAAACCCTACCGGAAGTTACTATCCTAGCTCAGCATTGCATGGAAACTATAAAACAATGTATCCATCAAAACTGACAGTCGCTTACAGGCAGCTCAGCTACAGTTTCACACAGTAGGAGTTTTTCAACCTGGGGGCAGTGGTCGCGGCGGGGGACGGGGATCGCAGCCGCGGGCGTGGCAGGGGTGGTAACAACGGAGCAGCCAGAGGGGATAGAGGTAGGGATAGGAATGGAGATGAATGCTTCTTCTTTTGTCACGACCCCACCCACTGGAAAAATGAGTGTCCAAGGAGATAGCTCAAAATAGGGACGCCCCTTAGGGGAAACAACATCTTTAATACAGCAATGCTTACAGGTAAAAGTAGACCCATCTGGGAAAGAAATTCCTATGTTGGTAGATATGGGAGTCACTACATCCACTTTTGGTAAAGGTACGGGACTTGACCTACCCCTAACCAATGAAACTTTAAACGCTTATGGGATTTCCTCAAACACGGTAGTACATTTTGAAACGAAACCCCCTGTTCAATAGGACCAATGAATGTTGAACATGATTTTATGTATTCACCCACTCAACCGTTTAACTTGTTAGGTAGAGACTTGTTAACTAAACCTAATGCTACAATTTATTGTACCCCGGATGGAGTTTTCGTTGACATCCCAAACTATGAG